AGGGAAACGGCCCCATTCTAACAGGATTGTTACGATATTCTTGAGATATAAACTTGAATATTGAATTACCAGATTATGTATCCAGTCGGTAATATTGATTTTAAATTATATCAAAAACATAGTATGTCATGCTTCTCATCTTTATTCCCAATTTCCGTCAGTTTAAATCTGTTTCAAGACACACGCTAACGTCTTGAATACAGAAAATAATATAAACTCATTGAAACACGGATGTCACGCGAACGGAGGTCTTTATAGTTCAAGGAAGTTACATCAGAGCTGAATTTATAATGTTAAAATAAGTATGGAATACATATTTGAGAGTTATATTATGTAGGTACGTATTTGTTTTACAATTTTTTATTTTCAAAGGGAAAATGAAAAAGTACATGCCGAAAAAAAGAAGATAAGCGAGTATCATACTTTGTTGAGCTGTGAATATTTTAAAGAAAAAAATATTTGGCTTGACTTAAGACTATTTCAAATTACTAGATCTATTGGATGTTTTCCGCACTGTCTATTGTGTGGTGAATGAAGCTAGAATTAAATAAAATAAAAGCTGGAACAACTTGAAAATTCTAGGGAGTGTATAGGTGAATCCGATAGGTTAATGTCCAGTGTATTTTCACAGTTCCAACAAACAGGATATCGACATTCACTTCAGCAACCTTATCATAATAATGTTGATAAAGTTATTACACACGCCTTCTGGGTCCTTATTCTTGAAACAGGGGAGCAGCGTTCCCAGGAGAACGAGTGTTCTGTCTTTGTCACCTATATTGTCATTTGCATATCATTGAGAAAGACGGAACACTCGTTCTCTTGGGAACGCTGTTCCCCTGTTTCAAGAATAAGGACCCTGGATGGTGAAACATATTCACGTAGTTTTTTGTCGCTACTCTCAGCCACTAACCTGAGAAATTCGAGTGTACAAACAAATTATGCCGAATAAAAAGAGAAAAGGTTTTGAAAGAAGAAGAAGATGGATGTTGAGAAATCAAAGGAGGAAGATATGTTTGAAATGAAAGGTGACTGGTAGAATTAGGTTGAGGAGGGGGAGTGCTCTTCATCAGAATCGACGAAATAGCGATTGAGTTCAAGGTCCTGTCCTCTAGGAAGTATTTTTCTGAAGAGTTGATTTATGATTTGGACGATCAAAATAAAGGCACAACAAATCCATTATTCTATTCCAATTCCTGAATCATGCCTTCTTGCCTCTGAAACCATTCAACGCTCTACCCTCAAAAAGGTGACAGCAAAATCGAAGGGTTTTTCGGTTACTTGATGTGCTACTCTATCAAGGAAGTTATTTACAGATAACTTTAGCCGTCTCCAGAAAATTTATCTATGTTCCACTTTTCTTCATTCAAATTTCTGTGATTAATTATAAGCATTCCCATTTTCGAATAATTAAAACTATGGACAATAAAACTTTTCAATTCAATGCCCGTCCTCAAAACAATCAATTATTTGTCTGTCACTTCATTTTCTAGAAGGAAAATACATAGAATTGCTGCCTGCAACCGAGAGCTGGAATTCACAGAACTCTATTTGCGTCATTTGGTTTTATAAAGTGCGTCAGACCGCATTTGCTGTTGCGTTTAGACATCTCGTAAGAAGCTGTTTGCTACAGTGAAAAATTACATAACGAGAAGAGATATGTTTATTTCAAAGTGATAATGTTATGCAATTTATTGCAGTTAGGAAAGTTCCGCTGTTCTTGGAATGACGCTGGTTATGTGGCTCGTAAGGAGATTAAACCCACATTAGCAATTCTAGCATTATATGGAATAAATAAATAAAATAAAATAAATATATAAATATGCACATATACAATATATGCGCCGAATAGAAATGGCGAAGTTTAGCCTGAGGCAATATTTGCAATGGCTTGTATTTGCTTAGGGATCTATATAAGTTATTGAAAAGTTTTGCTATATGACTTTGAAAAATTGCATAGTGGAAAATCTACAAGATTTTTAGAAAATTGAAATATGAATGTTACTGTGAAAGAAGACACATAATTAATCCTCAAAAATTTTACAAACTTGATTGAAATTATTATCATTTAAAATTTAATATTGCGATTTATATGAGCAGAACAACGCCAACAACAAAACGAGACCTTTAACCTTTACAGATAATTTGTCGATCAAGCCTGGATGCAGCTGAATTGTGCAGAAGTGACATTTAGCGAGGTTTATTCAATTTTGGTAGCGTTTCCCCATTTTTCGTATTTTAACTCCGTTCTTTCTTGCTTGATGTCCAATTACTGAAAATGCGCGTCCTATTACGTATAGGAGTGTGATTTTTCACTATTTAGTTACTGCAGTGATCGTAGGTGAAACACTTTGATTATTTTATTCCTGGCATTTTTTAGTTCTATCAAATGGATTATCAGGAAGGTGCAAAGAGACGGAATAAATGAGGAGGTAGGAAAGTTGTAGAATTGCCCAATTTGAATAATGTTACGCTTCCACTGAACTGTAGAAGTCATGGGAAATTGAATTAAATCAGAAAATTTTTCAAGTTATTGCTAGATTACTATAAGTTTCGACAAATTGGAAAAACGGCTTAGAATATAACGGTTTAGGAGGCAATGGGCATGAATTTTATTTTTTTATTAGATATTGCTATATTTGCACTGTACTTCTCAAAGCTGTATAAGAAAAATAAGATTGGGTAGGACCCTCTAAATTCATAAATTTTCTCATTTACAATTTACATATTATACGGATAACAATTTGTTCGCCTACCAAAAATGATAACATTTCCCACTCGACAAAGAAATAACTATCATATTTGTTAGGAGCTTGGTAAAACGTTTTTTACCATAACTAAGTACCTACTGAATATTTAAATTGGCCCAGTGGAATTTTTTTATTTAAAAGCAAATGTTGGTAATCTCATAACCCGGAGTAGCCTATCCAAATTAAAATAAAAAACCTACTTACTGCTTAAGTGAAATGCATCCGTTTTACAGTTTTCGTTTATTTTTTTTCATACAAATAGGTTGATACATAAATTTACGGTAAAATTATAAATGTAAATTTTTATTCTCGTCTTGAAACGGGAAGAAAAGCGAATACAATTAAAAGTTAGCTATTACATCAGAACAACTTCGTTCTCTACAATGGAAACTTTATTTTCATTTGCCTTAGTAGATGATTCTATTAAAATTAAAATGTCTGCAGTTTCCTTTTAGTAGGTATAATCCTGTATCTGGCTTGCTGCTTTGCAAGAACGCTGCAGTAATACAGTAATTTCGAGGATATTTCTATTCAAAATATATTAAATGTGACAAGAAGAGATTATTCAAATAATAGAATAGATTCAATTTTGTCGTATACGTCTGACTTTCAAATTCACTAATTTCTCTGAAATAATTGAATATCACCACAGCTAAATGTTGCGAAGCACAAATTTTATCCCATTACACTGGCGTAATCCCTTACTGCACAATATAAGCTTAAGGACCATTTGCCTAAATACTCTATCCAGCCGAAATTAAAATCCCCGCAATTCCCTTTAAGTAATAATACTCAACTTTGCCGCCTGCAATCTAAGCTCCTGCGGTTTTTACAACAAAGACCGACACCAAAAAAAAAAAGTAAAACTTAATAGAATCGCCCCCTTTATTGGGACAGTGACCAAGAAAGTGTTTGTATTTTGTAGTTTATATTTCTTCGGGGACAATTTCAGTTCTGGTTAGGGTCGACGGACAGTGATGAGGATATAGCGCCATTTTGTGTCGTCTGCAACACAAATTGCGCTCTCCTTATTTTTCTAGAAATCACGTAGAAATAAAACAGAGGAGACGGTGTCGTTTTGCAAAATAAAGTAATTTTTACTTAAACTTATATTATGGGATTTGTAGCGAAAAGGAAACGTTTTATGTAATACTCTACCGAGGGCACTGTATCCTTTACGCGAGAAATGAAAATATTAAATGGTTGGAAGCACTTTTGGGGTATTGTACTTTCATCAGGGGTTAAGAAAACTTTTATTCGATAACTTTTATAATTTTTTCCGTTGAATAAGGATAAATATAAAACATGAAACAAAACTTTTCTTTTAAAGTAAGTGAAACAAACGTTTGCGGTTCGTGTCTTATTTTGACTTTAATATTCTTTTGAAAATTGAAAGAAAAATCGTGGAAACAATACACGTATTAAATCCACACTAAAAAAGATATTTTATTTAAACAGGGTGCAAATACTCACCTTTGATAAGAAAAACAGGACATGTAGAATCGATAAGGAAATTCAGTGATGAAGTGGATGCCTATGTCCAAAGGTGGACGTTTGAGCTGATTGAAGAAATAGATAGATAGAGATAGAGTTTCGTCTAGTTGACAAGTAGCTAGATTATAAGTCTATCCCCTCTGTTAGAACCAATATTCCACACACAATATTTGAAATATTGGAAACGTTGCGAATTTGTCCTGCTAGAGGATTGTGACCAAGAGTCTCTCTGCCTCCCGACGTGGCATGATATTATGGTAACGTAGTTGATGGTATTGAATTGAAAGGGATTCGTTCTCAATGTCTGTCTTTGTGGTTCACTGTTTTATATTTAAAGTTGATGCCGTTGTTCCATGATATCCTATTATGTAATTTCTATCAATAACTTTGATAGTGAAGTTGAAGATTTATGATACCCATGAAATTTGAAAACTTCAAAAATCATGTATCGTGTATGTCTGAATTATGGAAAAATTTTGTAGTCAAATTCATCATAAAGTAGTAAAGATCATATTGATGCTTTTATTGTTCCCACCACATTTGTTTTTCAGTTATCACCATATTGATTCGAAACTACATTTTTAGTCTTAGGGATTGGCTGGTGCAGATAGAAAAATAGATCAAATATCAGATCCCTAATTCCATTTTCTTAGGGAAGTCCAAGCTAAGTCCCGGTAAGAGGAAATCACCGCAAATGAAAAAACATATTTCAATAGAGAATTTTCTATTTGAACAAGTAACAATACCTATTTAGGCCAGCTAGTAGCTCTCAGAAATAACTGATTAGTAATTATATGATACGTAAGACAGAATACGTACATAAATTAATTTACATCAAAACAAAATACCTAACCATATTATATTAACATTTTTCGAAAAAATGGCTTGAATCGTCTATACCGAGTGTCTTCTAAAATTTATAGGAAGTGGTCTATCAAAATTCATCCTAAAAAAAAATTGATGAACTATAGGTAATTAAAATCAGAAAACATTAATAAACCAATAAGGTACCTCGGCCTGATATTTTCGCAGCTTCGTCTTGTTGGGGCAGTTCTGATGCGGCGACCCCTGGATCTACTCCTATGAATAATCGTTCTTCGGCTGTTTGAGGGAGAAGAACGCCTCCTAATTATGGAAATAAATAAATTAGTGATCAATCAACTAAAACAATTAGAGCCAGATGGTTTAAATAAGTTTGAATAATGATAATCATGAATTTGTTTCAACAGACAAGACAATTATTTTGGTTCTGACCAATTTTTGAGTTATTTCTTACCGCATGGCGTTGTTTCTGTTCCTGTAATAGTAATAAATTAAAGATATGGAACCAGACAAGCAAACTGATGCCAGCGGCGTTGGCATTTGTCGATTGAATATCTGCGACTGGACTACGCCAAGAATCTTAAAAAAAAAGAGAATTGAAGGGGCAGATTGCTTTTTTCAAATAGGAAAAGTTATACTCACCAGAGAACCAATAATTTCGCGTACGCAAGTAGGAATAGTAGGCATTTTTAGCAAATTTAAGCTTGAAATTGAGCTTTTGGGAAAATTTAATTAGAAAACCTCAAATAACAGAAAATTTGCTAACAGTTTCCATGGTTTTGGCAGGACCGACTACTATCAAATGACAAGTGAAGATAGATCCTTAAGGCGCGTTCGATAACAAGGTTGTTGATGTGAAAATTGTTCGCAAGAAGGGACAATGGCAATGGGTACATTTAGGCCAAGGACAATACACACTACTACACAATATTGCTTATCGGCCTCGTTTTTGGGGATCGCGGCCATATTGTTTAGCACCATTGACGACGTTATCAACTGGGTCGTCAGCTGTTTGCGCCAGCGGTTGTAATTTAAAATATATATACATACATATATTATGAACAATATTATTTAATTTTGATTAACATAATAGCAAAGAGAAAGATGCGAACGAGATCTAGAAAAGTGTTGTTTAGGAATGTTAATTATTGTACTAAAACCAAGTATGCATAAAGGAAAAGCCCGCGGAATCATAACCTAAGCTGCAAACACCCTACGTAAAAGCGAGCAACGACATGCTGCCTACGTCATCACTGGTTTACGCTAGCGGGCTTAAGATTTGATCTACACAGGCCTTATGAGTATAAGCTATCCTGTAGTCGTAGTGTGTATTATTCTTGCATTCAGGTCACAGTGACTCTATTAAACCATAGTGGCGACAGTTGCTGTCTTATTTTTGATTGGTTCTTTAAAATCCTATATATTCACATGGAAAACGCCGCCATTTTGTGGTTTACCTCTTGGTTATTTTATTTTTAAATATGAATATGTAGGATTTGAATGTACATCTATCATAAAAAATTGAAAACAACGTATTTGATGTACCTTATAATAGGCGGCGGGACCTCTATTCAACTCTATTGTCGCCACTGTTTGCGAAGGTATATTTAGTCACTGTAATTCAGACAGGCTACAGTGACTGGATGAACCTTCACATTCAGTGGCGACAATGGGTTTCGTGCGACACGTGACCACATTGGAGGTAACATAACCTAAAAATAAATCTACTTTTGAATTTTCGCCGTCTAGCCCTCCTAATCCTTTGAAAAATTATTTCTAATTGGAACATAATTCACTTCTTAGGATAGTATAGGTAGACTCAGAGGCGGCGCGTCGGGAGGGCACGGGGGGCTCAAGCCCCCCTTTCTTTGTAATGCATGAAATTTTTTTCCATAATTTCAAAAAAAATAGAGATTGAAAAATATTCCTAAAATCCAGCTACAATCAGAATCGCCGGCAAAAAATAAACGTCGACTTGTGTTTCTTATAGAAGGTGTGACCTAAAAAAACAACATAAGCTAATTAAATCAAGATAAAAAATCAAAAGGTGAAAACCGCAATCCTATATTCAAAATAGATTCCAAGAAAATCCTTTATGAAGACAAATTATGTGGAGACTTGTGACGTCACACCGGGAGGGAACTAAGTACCTATAATCCAAAAACTTTCTATATCAAATAAAATGTCGGTAGTACCATTGGTAGGTAGTACAGAAAATTGGTTTTAAAAGTTGAAAATAATCGTTTTTGGGCGTGGCACCCGAAAAAAAATGTCGCCTCCGGCGGCCTTTTTCAGCACCCCCACTTTTTGAAACCACGCGCCACCTCTGGGTAGACTAGGGTCAAAATACCCTCGTATTGTGCCGTTGTAGGATGTAAAAACAATGCCGCCGAATATACAGTATGAACGTAAATAAATGTCTTTATGAACTATTAAGTAGCAAATCAAACAAAAATATAACTTAGACACCGAAAAAATATCAAAAGAAGAAAGCATGACACTCCAACTCCATATAAACAAATGGGATAAGGCTAGGTTGTCTAAGTTGTCTCCAGTGTCACTTTGGTGATGCACTTGCATGAAACCAATAGCGGTCCCGCCGCCACTTTCTTGCTTACCTGTTGCTTATTTCAAATATGAATATAGGATTTAAATGGACATTTATATAAAAAATTAATAACAACGTATTTGATGATTTTATGGATTTCAATTTAAATTATATATATTCATATTTAAAATTAGCAAAAGGTTAGCAAGAATATGGCGGCGTTTTCAATTCGAATATATTGGATTTTAAAGAATCAATCAAAACTAGGACGGCAATTGTCGTCACTGTAGTTTTATAGTCAATGTAGCCTGAATTACAGTGGCTAAATAAACCTTTACATACAGTGGCGACAATAGAGGTCCCGCCGCCATCTTGTTCCCAACCTCTTGTTACTTTTAAATATTAATATATAGGATTCAAATGGACATCTATCATAAAAATTGAAATCGAAGTATTTGATGACCATTATTAGGTCCATCAAATACGTTATTTTCCATGATTTATGATGGATGTTCACCTAAATCCCATATATTCATATTAAAAAGTAACAAGGGGTTGGGAACAAGATGGCGGTGTTTTCAATATAAATATATGGGATTTTAGAACCAATCAAAAATGAGACAGCAATTGTCGCCACTGTGGGTTATAGAGTCACTGTAGCCTGAATGTACCCATTGCCCTCTCTTGCGAACAATTGTCGCATCAACAACCTTGTTATCGAACGCGCTCCAATGATCTATCTTCACTTGTCATACAAATAGTTAGTCGGACCTGCCACAAAAGCATAAAAACTGTTGGCAAATTTTCTGTTGTTAGGTATTTGAGGTTTTCGAATTAGATTATCTCAAGAATTTCAACATAATAATTAAAAACTCACATTTCAAACATAAATTAGCTAAAAATGCCCACTATTCCTACTTGCGTACGTGAAATTATTGGTTCTCTGGTAAGTATATCTTTTCCATTTGAAAAAAAAGCATTCTGCCTTTCAAATTTTCTTTTTTAAAGATTCTAGGGGCAGTACAGTCGGAGATATTCACTCGACAAATACCAGCGCCGCTGGCCACAATATGCTTGACCGGCTCCTTATCCTTAATTTATTACCATTACAGGAGAAATAGGAACAACGCCATGCGGTAAGACATATAACTCAACCATCGGTCGAAACCAAAATAATTGTTAGAAAAGGCTTGATCACTAATTTAATTATTTCCAATTAGGAATAGTTCTTCTCCGTCGAACAGCCGAAGAACAATTCGAAGGAGTCGATCCAGAGGTCGCCGCATCAGAGCTGCGCAACTAAGACGAAGCTGCGAAAATATCAGGCCGAGGTAGGTACCTAATTCGTTAATAAATGTTTTCTGATTTTAATTACCTTATGAATTTTTTTCAGGATGAATTTCGAAAGACTGCTTCCTGTAAATTTTAGAAGACACTCCGTATAGGCCATTCAGGCCATTTTTTTCAAATATGTTAATATGGTTAATTTGCTTTAAATTCAATAACTTAGGTATATGTATTTTATCATATTATCACATAATTACAAATTAGATATTTCTTAATGCTACTAGCTGGCATAGATATTGTTAATTGGTTGTTCAAATAGAAAATTCTCTATCAAAATTTGTTCCTTCATTTGCTTGTTCCTCTTTCTTTGGAACCTAACTTGAATTTCTCTAAACCAAAGAATTCTAAACCAATGTGTAAGAATATAGTTTATATTTCAATATTGTAATAACTGAAAAACAACGGAACTTGATCTTCACCACTTTTGATAAATCTGACTGCAACATTTATGGTTTGGTTCTCCACAATTCGGACGTACACGATATATAATTTTTTAAAGTTTTCCAATTATTTTTTTAGCTACATGATGAAAGCCACTAAATTTAAAGGATCTATCAGATCATCAAAATATTGAAAGGTTTATGCTATAGATGTAGGTTTCTTTATTCGTTGTCTAGGGATGTTTTGGGGGGTTGTACACCAAATAAATCCACTTTGATGCACTGTCGAGTAAGGTATAATATAAAACAGCAAAATGAGTGAAATAAACACATGTGGGAATATAGCACAGCTTAATGAAATGCAAATTTGCTTGTGCAGCCCTCGTCTACAAGACTCACAGAGCCACGTCACGTTATAAAAGAGAGGGTCGACAAAAATTGAAAATTTGCTCTATTCACAGAAAATACGACTTTTTTACCATGTGCCAATGTCATGGGCGTCGTTTGGGGGGGGGGGGGGGGGGGCAAGAGGGGGCATTTGCCCCCCCCTAGAAATAGTCTTTTGACAAGAAAGCTGTAAAAGAGAGTTCGTACCGATGATTGAGTTTCAACCTTCGGTTGAATCCTATCAATTTGGATGGAGTAAACCGAATGTTGAAACAACCATCGGCTCAGTGCAGGGCCGTAGCCAGGGGGGCAATGCCCTATCTTTTAAATGATGATGCCCTACCTTTAAAAATCAACATCCATTAAGGTTTCTCTAGAAAATTTAAGAGTAGATAATGCCTGAAGTAGAAAGGCCTGAAATCGAGTAAGCGAGGATGAATGTTTCCGAAAACGCCTAAGTCGCCTAAATGTAATGAACAATGTTTGACGTTTGCACAGAGGAGGTTTTTTTGTTTTGAAAGAGTAGGAATGGCCCAAGGCGGCTGGCGCGGGAATCAGCGCCATTTTGTTTACTTGCCAAAGATGTTATTTATTGCAAGGTTGTTTGATAGAGGCGAGAGAGGTAGGTTGCCAGGTCTCTTTATGACGTCATCTAGGGTGCCTCAACATAATGCAAATCTCTATAAGGTACCCCAGATCAAATGCGTCATCAAGTTACCCATTGCCAGACAAACCTGAACCTTGATTTATTGAAAAGTTTGCCTTCGGCAATCGGCGCCATTAGCCCCATTTTGTTTACCTATAAAAAACTTAAGTAGGGGGCAAGTAGTGTATGCCCTATGTCAAATTTATCATGCCCTATCATAAATTTGACTCTAGCTACGGCCCTGGTTCAGTGTTTCATAATACCGGCCATTAGACAATTACCTAGACAAATGATGCGGACCGTGAATTTGTAGCCGAAAAAATACCATCATTTTTAACTATCGATATCGAATAAGTACGTTGAAATGCTAAAAAAGGGGCGTGGCAGCGAAAAAAAATTTGCCTTCGACGGTTACCAGCGGCGCTATTGGAACTGATCTTATTATAGTGCTGCCCCCCCCCTGAGAAACCTCGTAACGACGCCCATGGCCAATGTATGTGCAATGGGGTAACAGGCAGATGTTCTCCTGGATTTTCTGCTTCAGCTAGTGTTTTGCTTCTAACTGTTTCTTGAAATACTTCGTCCATTTGTTTCGTTATTTCATCCTTGTCCGTTAAGCTCGCCTCTGCAATATTCTTATTTTCTGCTTTGCTTCCAATGGCCTTGATTAATCTGCAAAGTATTGTACTAGTTCTCGCCTGGTATTTTTTTAAATATTATCTGTTTCGCTTTTTTTTTTTGTTCTTTATATTTTCGCCAGTTTTGTTGTTTTCCATTTCCCGCACATTTCCTTTTTTATTATCTTTTCTATAGTGCTTATGTTTTTTGTTGTTCATTCTTTCACTTTTCACGCACACTTCTTCAGCCGTTTATGTTACATTGGTTCACTCCTATCCGGTATCATTCTCTGCTAATAATTTTATAGCTTCATGATCAGAAAGAGAAAATTATCACTTGCTATTTCTGATCCTCATTTAATTCTTATTGTTTCAATTACTTTGTGATTATTTCTATTTAGTCAATATCATACAGCTTGTGTTTGATTTTCTTTTTAAGTTACTACACGACTAAGGGCGGGTATTATAAAACAATTTTGAGAGTTAACTTAAAGTTAACTTCTGAAAATACATGTATTTCAAAAAGTTACCCTAAGGGCGAGTATTATAAAACTACTTTGTGAGTTAACTTAAAGTTAACTTCTGGAATTACATGTAATTCAAAAACTTAACTTCAAGTTAACTGTCAAAGCAGTTTTATAATACCCGCCCTAAGTATGATAATATTTCAATAATAATAGATATTTATGTTAATCATCGGGTAAAGTGGCAAATCCAGACTACGGCTTAGAAAATATTCAACAAAAGTTCAGTGGGCCAAACGGTAGCATTAGAGATGCATCCGGAGAGTCAGCACAACAGCAATGTTTGACGTCAGCTCCAGGCCTGTAAATGTCAAAGTTCACAGTGGCAGCAGAAGCAATCGATATAGCGCCGCACATCCAGGGAGCCTGAGGATGTGCCTGATGCTGTAATTTGCGGAGAGTAAAAATATTTCTAGTTCTGGAGATTCCCCGATACTCAATTTGCCTTTCGGATGAATTTATGAATAGCAATTACTTGTTCGACTTTCCCCGGGTATCGTCCTACTATCACGCCGCTGCTGCTTCTCGGGATGTGGAATATATAAAAAAAGGTTGTTTATTCATTCAAAATTGGAATTTATTCTGGCTTTAAAAAACAAATTAATGGATATGTAAATATTTATGCTGAAATGAAGAAGCCAAAAACATATATTATTTGAACTTATTAATTTAAAATGATATCTATTCCTGTTATTCAGGTGCTGAGAATTTTTATCTTCTATCATTTTCGATTCGAAGGACACATTCTAGACCTTATTTGCCAAAATTTTCCAGTGATAAACATACCTATATTGAGAGGTCTCTATAGGCTCCTTAAATTTTAAAACTCGAAGATTTTTCGAGAAATCTATTATTTCAAAAATGCGGGTTTTGAAGAAACTTCATCCAACCTTTTCTGAACTCCACCAAGTCAGACTAAACTAAAACAAAACTACGGATTTCTGCTATTTACATTTTCATACTCCTCATTGAGGGCTCTCATGACAAGAAACGGAGCGATGATCATATCAAAATGATAAAAGCAGGTGATCTGTGTCAAAGGTCGAAAAAAGGATCACTGCTGATAAAAGTATTGGTCATTGCAACAATCGCTCTTTTGGAATGTGTGGTTTTAAATCCCATTGGAGCATTTGGAGCCAGCTTGTTGTTCCTTTTCTAGCCAGCCACGCACCATTTCCAATTCTTAGTCAGCAGTTCGTTCCTTCTCGATGTCTTCTACCCGTTGGAGAAGTCCAGAGTTTTTAGACGTTTCTAGTAAGGGTTTATTACTCCAACACAACACAGAGCTGCAGAAACCTTGTCATGGCCTACACTTAATCTTGATGGCGCCGCGTGTCGAACATCAAATCACATTGCTCATTGGACACCCGTAATGTGGATTTCATAAAAATAATAACTCTGAAGGAAAAAAAGCAATTGAAGGAAGACGAGATTTTTCTCATGAAAATCCGCATTCCCGTAGCGAAAAAAAAAACACTGAATAAGCTACTTTCCCGGAAGGAAAACTCGTTAAATTCTAACTGGATAAAATTACTCTTTTATAAAAGATAAAAATAATTACTATCGGCAAACGAACCTCAAAAGTATCACTTCAGTTCCTTTTTCCTCGGAGGAAACCGCAGTTGACGAGAAGTGGGCGATATTTAAAAGCGCATTTCCCAGACCCACTTTTATGAAAAAGCACAAAAGGAAACATTTGCTGCCCCTTTGGCCTTTTTAACAATAATCCACGAAATAATGCTTTCTCGCTGCCTGCCTAAAGAGGCCTGTCCTAAATTAGGTCAAATAGCTCTTTCGAATGGAATGACGCAAAAAGAAAAAGGCAGCAATTAGTACCGTTGTTTTATTATTAGATAGCATGTGGTCAGAAATAACCAAAATGTTATGCTAGTAATGAAAAAGAAACTGCACGTTGATTCGTTGAGCAAAAATTATTCAAAAACCAAAAATAACAAATATCCTGCCTTAAGATAAGAAATTTAAATAATAACGTTAATGAAAAATAAAATGTAGGCAACAAGAATTGCATGCTGCAACCCCATTAGCGTGAAACGAATTTTGGACTATTGTCGTGTCAGGATTATAATTTTCGTGTAAATAGCTCTCAAATTGCATATTAAGTGGGTTCGGATCCGTGCTATGCATGAGTGCAGGTATTGGCCTCGTGAAAATGCAATTTTTTTAGCTTTGATAATAAAGCATACTTCAATTGGTATTCAGATTGGATTATATTTGAAACTAAATTGAATTATTAGAGCCTGTTTAATTTATTCCTAACCATGTTAGCTTTAAACTTGCTTTGCTTTTAATTTAATGGATAATCTCGGATAAAATCGATCACTGCTGACCTTATTGGCTTAAAGGATGCTGGCATTAATAATTCAAATAAGGTTTCAGTCAGGAGCCTAGGGGACTTTATAATGAGACGTGGCCAATTTGTTTCATGTATACCTTAATGAATTATTTTTGATTTTGAGTTTTTGCCAAACGCATGACAATAATTTAAATAGAACGCTTCATGAGAATTTAACAATTGAAATACCTGAGCTGAATCGAACTACATTATTTCATGTGGCCATTGTATCGAATTGTTTGACCACCGAAACCAAAACTCATGTAACGCGAGTTAATTAACTTGTATACCTAGTTGTTAGCAATCGTTTAGTGTTACAT